CTCAAGATAATGTAGGCTTTGGCTTCTTAAAGAGTATTCCTCTTACGTGTGTTGCATTGTTTCCCTCTCCAACCAGAAGGACAAGAGCAAACGTTTGGCCCAACACATTTTCCTCCATTCATGCACATGGGATCACAGATACCTTAAGGTAAAAGGATGAAATATCAGCCCTTCAATGGCAATAATTTTGCTATTTAATGTGCTTGCTTTACTTGTGGTTGGCAAATACATATAGTGTTGTCTTACTTTTTTGGCATCTCCTACCGGTGTATCCTTCACGACAGGCGCACATGTTATTTCTTATGCAGTGACCACCATTCTTACAGGGAGGGTGACAGAGAGCTGAAAGAATACATGGCAGCAATCTGTGAACATTACACATTCAGTTACTATATATTACATATTGCATCGTCTGCTTGTTATCTACGGGGGCACAAGGCAGAGGGATATGCTATTAAAATAAAAGATCACAACTGCAAGTCATTGAAACCATCCTTTCTAAATCATAAAATACAATGCTTACAGCTATAAGCTGCTAGTGGGTTAGCACAATTTGAAATATATTGGCGAAGTGTTCGTAACAAATGGAGTCTTGGCCATTAGAGTACATTTATTATGAACTTTATCTTATGTTTCACCATACTTTAAAGTAAAGAGTGTAATGATCTGGCCAAAACCAATACAGAAAGTCAACACCTAGCTCAGAATAAGAATTTATCTATTCCTGTGAAAATTAGAAAAATCAGAACTATCTGTCACATAATACTTAGAAAGCATTTTTAACATTTAAATACCTACTGAGGGCATAAATGCAGAGCTTCATATGTGACATTTCTGTGATTGCTTTGTAAAAATCTTTTTAACAATAAATATTTTCCTTTGTTAGAAAGAAATATTTATTGACTAATATTGAGTACACTATAGTATCTGCTATATATTAATATATAGAGGATGCCAAAAATGTATACACATTTTAAGAAAAACAACTATTAAAATTATAATACTCAATATATACTGATAACAAAAGATGAATACAAGTCATGTTCGACTTCTGCAATTACAAGAGGTGCTCAAAGTGGTTACCATCAGTGTCCAGACACTTCTGATTATGGCGAACTACTGCTTGGGCAACGTTGACCAAAGTGTCCACTTGTATACATTTTCTTTTGGAACCCCATATATGATTTTGTTACATGAAGTATAGAAGCTAGCATTTATCATCTTTTATGGGAGGATTATTATTGTTTCCTGTTTCTCCCAGATATGACAATTAAATGCAGTTACTTTAAAACTAATAATACATAGGCAAATATTAAATTTGATTTTCCTGAAATGATAAATAAATGGATTAATTTGTGTTTTAAAAGTGAATGCAAATTAACTAGTTTTGGTAATAGGGACATTGTAGACGGACTACCATTTTAATAAAATACACCTTTAATATTTATTAAAACTGCTTTCTTTGTTTGCAAACACTGTAAGAAAAATTCAACTGATTTCAAATGGATTTATAAATGAAAACAATGTAGCACTTTATGTAAAAAAGCAATATAACTGAATGATTTGGGCATATGGATAATTTCCACTCCTTTAGACTGAGCCTTTCCTGGTTAATGCTTGAGTCTACTCTCTCTGGCATTTTTATTGCTATTTTTTATTATGGAGAAATGTGCTTACATTTTCTCCTTCTTAATCTTTATACAATTTAAGATTGTTTCTATTTATTAAGAAAAATATATTATTTCCATTACAAAAACACCATAGTTAATACCTATGGTTAGAAATTTAAAACTAAAATTAAATAAAAGGAATAGGAAACCTATTTATGATGGGTAACCCTGGTATATTCAGTATTCATCCACTCCACAAAAGTTGAGTACAGAGATAAATACTACATTTATACAAAAAAAAGTACATGTAATACAATATAGAAAAAATGCATAAAGCTTAGACCTAGTCATGCCCACCCCTAACCCCATTTTAGGAAAAAGAGGTTTAGGAGAAAAATCTACCTTCACATATATATTTAAGAAATTCTCTAGGCTTCAGATGAATCTTTCATCAAACTCCAAACTGAGCCAAGTAATCAGACTTCACCTTCCGTGTAGAATGGGCTCATGGCATTTAAGGGATGAAGGAAGTTGGAAGATGGATTTAATCATCTTTCCACCCATACACTTAAGCCTTGTTTATTAATAATGTAGTTTAACTCTTTCGTGATGTTTCTAGCTCAGTTTCTAAGTTCCTCTTTTGAAATTTTATAGAACACACAATATATGATCCTCATAATTTACTTTTGACTATAGTGTGCCTGATTATATTTAATGGCTTTCATTGTATGTACCACCTTCCCTCCCCACCATTTGGGTTCACATCAGGTTCAAGAGGGGATGGGATCTAATAAAAATAAAGATCACATTTTTATTTCTTTTGTATATTCTGTAGCACTTTTTTTTTTTAAAGATTTTATTGGGGAATTGAGAGAGGGAACAGACAAGTTGCTGTCCTTTTGTTCTTCAATCTAGTTGTGGAGGACATCACTTCACTGGCCCATGTTGGTTTTATCATTGTGCTCTTCCTAGGTGAGGCAGTTGCTTGCCGGCCATTGGACGGCCACTCACAGTGACTCTTGGCAGCTCACACCGGCTGCCTGCCAGCTGCTCATGGTAGCTTATGGCAGCCCACTGCAGCACGGGCTGCAGCCTACGCTGTTGCTGGTGACTCACAGCAGCCCAGCTCCAGGTGGAGCCATTTTTCACCATCTTAGCTGTAGAGGGTGCAGCATCACAGGCCCACATGTGGGATCCGAACTGGGGCCCTGCTGCTCAGAGTTGGTGTCCCAAGCCAACTCTTACCCAACGCGCCACTCTGCCGGCCCTGTAGCATGTCTTATGACAATAATATTATTACTTAATGGTAGCTAGCCATGTGCTAATTTCCTGTGCAGGTGGTCACCTGTGTGTCTCACTTGTACTTGATAGCAACTGTCTGGTGTCTGGTTCAAACTTGAAAACTAAGATTTCTGAGGCCTGTAAACTTTAAGTAAATTTCCAAAATCTATGCCAGCTATGAAGTTGTAGAGATTAGCTAATGTCAAAACCTGCTAACATGACGTGTTCAGCAGATAAGTTTTAGTTCTATGTGATAATTTAAAGATTTCCTTCTTTTCCCAGTTATACAGTTGGCATATAAATTTTAAAGGAAAACTTTTCTTACTATATCTTACATCTACTGGAAGTAATATGAGAGATGTAAGCTTTTCATTCCCCTTTTCACATTCTCCACTCAACACTATGCCCATAACTCATAAAAATGTGTTTCAATATAATCTCTTAGTTTTCAAGATTTGCCTTGACTTTGTCTTTACTTCCTTCCGTTTTGCAAGCTGGTTCCTTAAAGGAAATCTGAATTAGAGGAACTCATTCCGTAAGCTCACATATCTAGTATTATAGTGATTTCTTTTTTCTGCCTCAACTAAAACTTAAGACTCCTAGCCCACCTCCCAAAAAAAAAAATGGGATCAAATCGAAGTATAATGTGGCAAGGAGAGGATAGCTCATAGGAATTAAATGATGACATGTTCTGACATGCTTTTACTAAAAAAATCTACCTTACATTTTGCATAAACTAAAAAATATGAAGATGCAGAAAATACATTTTAAATTCCATTTACCGACATTAATTCATGCCTACACTGACAGCCTCAGGATGTGCCCATTATTTTGAAAATCCTGTAGCATTAACTATATGAGGGAAAGTGTTAAAATAACAGGCCATGAAGGGAAAAAATGATGTATCTTTATGTTCCCATACCACTTGGCCTAGTGTTGTGCACAGCTGGCTCTTCATAAATGTTTAATGAAACTAAAGTGAAGAGAGATCATGAGATAATAATGGACATTAGGTTGACCACAAATCAAACATTTTTTGCTGTGAAGGTAGCAAATATGACACCATTTCATTATAATAGACTGCAAGGGAACCTTGCTTATTTGTTTCATACCTTGGTCCCACAAAACTGCACAAACTGCCAACGTTGTAAGCCTATATGTTTAATAAATGTAACCATTTTTCATAATAACTCTGATATGCTTTTATGAACTGACCATTCAGCGGCTAAACCTGCAACATCACAAGAAAGAGAAAAAAAAACAAATAACATCTTCTCCTTGTAACTT